TCTGTGTCTGTCAAGAAGAGATGCTTAAATGAGAACACTAGTGTACTATTTATGAAGGCTATATCTTCAACACCAAGCATATCTGCTGACTCTGTTGATTCTCTCCTTGATTGTTTTAACTCAAAAGTTAAAAGTGTAATTGATGATATTGCTCCTGTGAAAGTCAGGAAGAGTGGTAGACAAAAAGCACCTTGGAGAAACTCAACAGCAGTGCAAAATATGAAAAGACAATGCAGAAAAACAGAGCGCATGTGGCGGAAGACAAAACTTGTAGTCCATTATAACATCTACAAAGACACCATCCATGCTTTTAATATGGAACTAGGCAAAGCTAGACAGACTTTCTTCTCAAATATTATAAACAGCAACTTAAACAACACACGCACTCTTTTTGCTACTGTAGAGAGACTGACAAACCCCCCAAGCCAGATTCCCAATGAATTGCTTTCAGACAGCAAGTGCAGTGAGTTTGCTTCTTTCTTCTCTGAGAAAATCAATAATATCAGAAAGGTGATCAGCACATCATTGAGCCGCACTGGGGTCAGACAGATCAGACCACAACCGCAGAAAGTAGCTACTATGTCTGATTTTGAAGAAATTGATGGCAAAATTTTAGAAGAAACCGTACAGCACCTTAAAACATCAACCTGCGCCCTTGACACACTTCCCACATCTTTCTTCAAAAGTGTGTTAAACTGTTTAGAAGCAGATCTCCTAGAAGTGGTAAATGCCTCACTTATCTCTGGGAATTTTCCAAACTCCCTGAAAACTGCAGTTGTCAAGCCCCTCCTGAAAAAGAGCAATCTGGATAAGACCATATTAAGCAACTATAGACCGATCTCAAATCTTCCTTTCATAGGCAAGATCATTGAAAAAGTTGTCTTCAATCAGCTGAACAAATTCTTAATCTCGAATGGATACTTTGACAATTTTCAATCTGGTTTCCGATCGCATCACAGCACAGAGACAGCGCTCATAAAGATAATAAATGATATTCGCTTAAATACTGATACAGGGAAATTATCAGTGCTGGTACTACTCGACCTCAGTGCTGCATTTGACACTGTCGATCACGACATACTTCTTGACAGGCTGGAAAACTGGGTGGGGCTTTCTGGGATAGTCCTAAAATGGTTCAGGTCATACTTAGAAGGGAGAGGTTATTATGTGAGTATAGGAGACCATAAGTCTGAGTGGACATCCATGACATGCGGAGTCCCTCAAGGCTCAATTCTTGCACCACTCCTATTCAACCTGTATATGCTCCCAATGAGCCAAATAATGAGAAAGAACAAAATCTCTTACCACAGCTATGCAGACGACACACAGCTCTACTTAGCCCTATCGCCTAACGATTACAGCCCCATTGACTCCCTGTGCCAATGCATTGATGAAGTAAACGGTTGGATGTGCCAAAACTTTCTTCAGTTAAACAAAGACAAAACTGAAGTCATTGCGTTTGGAAACAAAGATGAAGTTCTCAAGGTGAATGCATACCTTGACGCTAGGGGTCTAACAACTAAAAATCAAGTCAGGAATCTTGGTGTGTCTCTAGAGTCAGACCTTAGTTTCAGTAGTCATGTCAAATCAATAACTAAATCAGCATACTATCATCTGAAAAATATTGCAAGAATTAGATGCTTTGTTTCCAGTCAAGACTTAGAGAAACTTGTGCATGCTTTCATCACCAGCAGGGTGGATTATTGTAATGGACTTCTCACTGGCCTTCCTAAAAACACCATAAGACAGTTGCAGCTCATACAGAACGCTGCTGCCAGGATCCTGAGCAGAACCAGAAAATATGAACACATCACACCAGTCCTCAGGTCTTTACACTGGCTCCCAGTTACATTTAGGATTGATTTTAAAGTATTATTACTGGTATATAAATCATTTAATGGCCTAGGACCTCAATATATTGCAGATATGCTCACTGAATATAAACCCAATAGATCACTCAGATCATTAGGATCACATCAGCTAGAAATACCAAGGGTTCACTCTAAGCAAGGAGAGTCTGCTTTTAGCTATTATGCCAGCCGCAGCTGGAACCAGCTTCCAGAGGAGATCAGATGTGCTCCTACAGTAGTCACATTCAAATCCAGACTCAAAACACTTCTGTTTAGCTATGCATTTACTGAATGAGCACTGTGCCACTGTGTCCGACTGTTTGTACTGTATTTTATTTGATTTTTTATTCTAAACTGTTTTAATTATTCTTATTTCTTTTGATTATTTTAATCTCTTTATTCTTAACTGTTTAATTATTCCTATTTCTTTTGATTTTTCTATGTAAAGCACCTTGAATTACCATTGTGTATGAAATGTGCTATATAAATAAACTTGCCTTGCCTTGCCTTGCCTTACCTTCCATGTCTCTCTACTCAAACCCGCTGATGGGCCCAACGAGAGGGAGGAGGGGAGATCCCGAGACCAGAGCCCCCAGCCCATCCAAGTGGAGGGCGATGAGGTCTATCAAGTTCAGGAGCTCGTGGATTCCAGACGTCGGGGCAGTTCCCTGCAGTACCTGGTTCATTGGGAAGGATATGGCCCTGAGGAACGTTCGTGGGTGGACGCCACAGACATCCTGGACCCCAGCCTGATTACAGACTTCCACCAGGCCCATCCCACCAAACCGGCTCCACGACCACGTGGAAGACCCCGACGTCGTCAGGCTCCTCACGCCAGGAGTCGCTCGCAGGGAGGGGGCTCTGTCACAATCCCGGACTCCGCAACCTCGCTCCCTGGCCAGCAGAGGGAGCCCTCACCCGAATATTGACTCTCATACTCGCACTACATTTCCCATAAGCCTCATCACTGACTCTGATCACCATGCCCAGCTGCAGCCCATCTACCGGGCTATTTAACTGCACCATGCACAGCTCTCAGTGCGAAGTTTTGTTTTGCTTTTGTGAACACTACCGAGCATTATTACCCAGTGACTGCCTGACTGTTTATCGACCTGCCTGCTGCCTGCCCACGTTACCACTGCCTGGTTCACGGACTCTGCCTGTTTTCTGCCTGCCCTGATCTTCTGCCTGGTAATTCGACCTCGATTAAGCCTTGTCTCCAGTGCTGTGTTTGCTGTCTTTGACCCCTGCCTGTCTGACTAATCTGTTAATAAACTTTACGCTGCAAATGGATCTCTCTGAGTCTGGTGATTCACAACAGATAGGTATTAATATTCAGTTCAACAAACGATAGGTATTAATATTCAGTTCAACAAACGATAGGTATTAATATTCAGTTCAACAAACGATGGGTATTAATATTCAGTTCAACAAACGATGGGTATTAATATTCAGTTCAACAAACGATAGGTATTAATATTCAGTTCAACAAACGATGGGTATTAATATTCAGTTCAACAAACGATAGGTATTAATATTCAGTTCAACAAACGATAGGTATTAATATTCAGTTCAACAAACGATAGGTATTAATATTCAGTTCAACAAACGATGGGTATTAATATTCAGTTCAACAAACGATAGGTATTAATATTCAGTTCAACAAACGATGGGTATTAATATTCAGTTCAACAAACGATAGGTATTAATATTCAGTTCAACAAACGATGGGTATTAATATTCAGTTCAACAAACGATGGGTATTAATATTCAGTTCAACAAACGATAGGTATTAATATTCAGTTCAACAAACGATGGGTATTAATATTCAGTTCAACAAACGATAGGTATTAATATTCAGTTCAACAAACGATAGGTATTAATATTCAGATCAACAAACGATAGGTATTAATATTCAGTTCAACAAACGATAGGTATTAATATTAAGTTCAACAAACGATGGGTATTAATATTAAGTTCAACAAACGATGGGTATTAATATTAAGTTCAACAAACGATAGGTATTAATATTAAGTTCAACAAACGATAGGTATTAATATTAAGTTCAACAAACGATGGGTATTAATATTCAGTTCAACAAACGATAGGTATTAATATTAAGTTCAACAAACGATAGGTATTAATATTCAGTTCAACAAACGATAGGTATTAATATTCAGTTCAACAAACGATAGGTATTAATATTCAGTTCAACAAACGATAGGTATTAATATTCAGTTCAACAAACGATAGGTATTAATATTAAGTTCAACAAACGATAGGTATTAATATTAAGTTCAACAAACGATAGGTATTAATATTCAGTTCAACAAACGATAGGTATTAATATTCAGTTCAACAAACGATAGGTATTAATATTCAGTTCAACAAACGATAGGTATTAATATTAAGTGATGTTCATTTTAAACACTGTATTGTCTGTATTTTTTTGCAACAAAACAACAGCTCCAACGAGAGCCACAACAGTGTTTGTGAACGAATCTGCGGCTTTGAACAAATCGTGAGTCAATGATTCATTCATAATTACAGACACTTGCTTCGTTACTGATGAATAAATGACTCGATGACTCGCTCATAAAGACAGGGACTTGCCGCCACATACTGGTGGATTTAATTTTAACTGTTTTTACAATGATTACATTTCTCTATTGAAGATTTTTTTATTTAAAGCATTATTTATTTTATAAAGGTAAAAAATGCAGTGGAAATGTCGATTTAAGGGGCAAATATTGTCCTCACTGAAGGAGTGACTGCAGAGAGGGGTACGCAGGAGGAGGTTAAAAGCCTCAGGGGTAAAACACTCCTAAGAGGACCACTGGGTTAAGCAATACAACAACATCAACATTAAAGCCCAATACACACAATACACAGAGTCACTTACAAAGTTAGGTTAAAGGTACTAACAGAGGGATTCAAACAAACAACATATAATAAGGTATAATTTACAGACTGAGCTGAAGAGTAATATTCAGAGAACATTGTTTTTAAGAGGTTTTGAATGAGTGAAGGGTGGATGCTTGACGGATTGAGGAAGAGCCACAACGCTAAAAGACCTGATGATATTTTTCACCAGCCGATACTGCTTAACATAAACTAAACAGTAATAATGTACAGTATAATGATACTAACTGTAGTTTCTCCAGCTTGAATTGTGGGTTCATCAGTAGATCACTGAGGTTTTTCACTCCAGAGTCTCCTAGATTATTCACGCTCAGCTCCAGCTCTCTCAGGTGTGATGGGTTTGATTTCAGAGCTGAAGTCAGGATGAGACTCTGTTTCTCTGTAATACTGCATCCACTCAGACTGAAGACAGAAAGAGAAAATGACTCAGATCCATGTTCAGTTCATGTGTGAGTTAAAAGCATCATTAATAAATGCCATACAGTCACTAATACACCAGCAAAATCATGGAAACTTAATGATATGAACAAACCAAGACAGGAGCATTTGAGGAAACTAGTTACAATCCAAGTCTGGATCGTCCTCACTCCACAAATAACTGAACTTATCACTGTAGATTAATATATAGGATCAATATAGAAACAATAGAAAAGTTGACATTTAAATGGACTGATTTTACATTTTCATCTTCAGAAAATCTAATTATAAAACGGTTAGTTCCAATCCTTGATTCTGATTGGTCAATAACTGTTTTATTCACGATAAACACGGGTATGACCGCTTCACCCAACGGCTCTATGTATCACTACACAACACCCCTAGCAACCACTCTTAGCAACGTAAACACGTGTTTGATCTCACTGATATTGTTCACTGAAGCTTATAGAGTAGAGTATTGTGAGAGATCGAGTAAGCGAGTGTTCCTGCATTTACAGTAGATATAGCATTTTCCTTCAGGTCAGACCTATATTCATAATAAAAAATCAGTTTGAATGTATGCTGCGATATCTTGTCCTTTAACAGTCAAGGGGTTTTCCGTGCCCTAATCATTTATCAGTTGCGTCTTGCTTTTCCGTGTTAACAAGTTTGAGTCCTTTCAATATAAAAGTCTTCACTACTGACTGACTCACTCATAAAGAGTCTTTGTCTTCATCTAATGGCGAAAATATGTATGTAACTTCTGTTGCTGTTTACGGTCAGGGACTATTTTTTCCAGCGGAAGGAAGGCTTTTAGTGATTTTACTTCATGCAAGTTGCATGGATAGATATTTTTCGGGTTTAATATTTGTATTGTGTGGTACCCGCTTTATAATAACGTACTGGAGGCTAGTGCTGTATGGTGAATAAGTCACGGCTGACTCCGCTTCGCGTCGAGCCTAACAACGCCCTTCAGCCGTGACCTATTCACCATACAGCACAGCCTCGAGTACCTTATTGCTTACACGCAGATTCTGCTTAATAAATTAAGATTTAGTGGAAAGTGCCATTAGTCCAGTATAACTGTAACTCTGTCAGAATAATTTACTGTAATTGTTACGCTGTTTTTAGTCTTATATAACTTCTGTATTGTATCAAAGCAAAGATTTGTCAGATTTCAGTTTATAAAACAATTTTATGGCTACATAGTTTCAAATGCTTTAATACTCTTCATACTGATACACATAACAAACGTTAACTAATAGTATTTGTGAATCTTTTTTCAGATTGAGAAACACCAGAAAGTGCAATACTATAAATGATTAGACTTGAGTCCAGTTGTCTTAAAATAAAATAAACAGTAAACTTTAATCACACTGTAACTGCTGTACAGTATAATGATACTAACTGTAGTTTCTCCAGCTTGAATTGTGGGTTCATCAGTAGATCACTGAGGTTTTTCACTGCAGAGTCTCCTAGATTATTCACGCTCAGGTTCAGCTCTCTCAGGTGTGATGGGTTTGATTTCAGAGCTGAAGTCAGGATGAGACTCTGTTTCTCTGTAATACTGCATCCACTCAGACTGAAGACAGAAAGAGAAAATGACTCAGATCCATGTTCAGTTCATGTGTGAGTTAAAAGCATCATTAATAAACGCCATACAGTCACTAATACACCAGCAAAATCATGGAAACTTAATGATGTGAACAAACCAAGACAGGAGCATTTGAGGAAACTAGTTACAAGTCTGGATCGTCCTCACTCCACAAATAAGTGAACTTATCACTGTAGATTAATATATAGGATCAATATAGAAACAATAGAAAAGTTAAAGGAGAACTCCGGCGCAAAATTAACCTTTGGTCTAATAAAATATTGGTACCTAGTCAACCGTTCTCTGAGATTTGTTTTCATGATAATCTAATGTAAAGAGTTTTATCTCTAAAAACAGTTTAGCGTATAACGCTAGTAATGGGGGCATTTAATAAGTAAAAAGAAATCGCAAGTTAATACTAATAACAAGGCTCAAAATAGCCCCACACGAACACAGTAACATAATGAGGGTCCCTACATGCAAAACGAAGCATTGAGAACTTTGTAAGTGTACAGACCATTTAATAAGAAGATAAAGATAAAGACAGTCCACTTGGTGTATACAGACAGGAGCCATCTTTGGAAGACAGACTCGACTAATCAAACCACGAACGCCATTCATACAGTTCAGAAGTTCACTGAACTTCATACAGTTCAGCTCACTTAGCACGTCGTTCGTGGTTTGATTAGTCGAGTCTGTTTTCCAAAGATGGCTCCTGTCTGTATACACGAAGTGGACTGTCTTTATCTTTATCTTCTTATTAAACGGTCTGTACACTTACAAAGTTCTCAATGCTTCGTTTTGCATGTAGGGACCCTCATTATGTTACTGTGTTCGTGTGGGGCTATTTTGAGCCTTGTTATTAGTATTAACTTGCGATTTCTTTTTACTTATTAAATGCCCCCATTACTAGCGTTATACGCTAAACTGTTTTTAGAGATAAAACTCTTTACATTCGATCATCATGAAAACAAATCTCAGAGAACGGTTGACTAGGTACCAATGTTTCATTAGACCAAAGGTTCATTTTGCGCCGGAGTTCTCCTTTAACATTTAAATGGACTGATTTCACATTTTAAACGTAAAAAAATCTTGTGCATGAATGACAGTTTATTTTAAGGAATTTTAAAGTGTAGTTTACAACCTCTAAATATACATTCTGCTTAATAAATTAAGATTTAGTGAAAAGTGCCATTAGTCCAGTATAACTGTAACTCTGTCAGAATAATCTACTGTAATTGTTACGCTGTTTTTAGTCTGTTATCACTTCTGTATTGTATCAAAGCAAAGATTTGTCAGATTTCAGTTTATAAACAATTTTATAGCCACAAAGATTCAAATGCTTCACAGTTTAATACTCTTCCTACTGATACACATAAACCGTTAACTAATAGTATTTCTGAATCTTTCTTCAGATGGAGAAACAGTAGAAAGTGCAGTGCTATAAATGATGAGACTTGAGTCCAGTTGTTAAAATCAGGGGTGTCTGGCCAATAGAGGGCGCTATGAGCCAGCCCACAGTTTAAGAGCCACAAGCAATCAATAAATAAGGCCCGGCTAGCTGATGCGCTAATGCTAATGCCTTATGGTGCTTTCCATTCTTACTTTTTAAAACAACAGGGACAGATCCAGCATCAGTTACCGGAGTGAGGGATATGAAGCACTGTCTGAGAGAGTAACTAACGTTAAACAGTTTGAGTTCAATTTCAAATGCAAATTTTGTGCAATATGTTTGTTTTTGTGTAAGAATGCCTCAACCTTTTAATATTGGCATTAAATAATTGCTGACTTTTTCACAGAGCACTGGTACCCTGCAGTTTGTATTGTGTTTGGGTGATTATTAATATGATTTTTATGTATATAAGCCTAGCGCCTTTCCAACACCCAAGGTCGCTTCACAAAGATAGGTTAAGGCAGTGTTTCTCAAACTGGGGAACATGAGGTGACAGAAGCGGGTAACGTTAGCCTACATGAACAAAATGCTGAAAATTGCCGTTCATTCAAGTCTTAAAATAACATTAAAACTTAGCATGTATTTCTAGCAGGTAAAATGCCGTAAATAGACTACGTGACATTCGATCAAATTAAATCTTTCGCGGTGAACACTGATGATTCACACAAGCAGCGAGCATATGATGTTTCGTGCAGATTATACTGTCTTGGCAAACCGTGCGCACTGCCGTTCTCAACATGTACCTTCGTAAAAGTGGGGATTTAGCACTTACTAGCACAGAGAACAAATATATACACAGATTTCTGTGCATAGAGATCGATTTAAGATTCAAACTCTTCGATACAAAAACACCCTGTGTGAGTTCCTGTGTTTAATGTTGATCACATTACCAATATCCACACGATTTCAAATGTGACATTGATTTTATACAGCAGTTCAACAAACGATAGGTATTAATATTCAGTTCAACAAACGATAGGTATTAATATTCAGTTCAACAAACGATGGGTATTAATATTCAGTTCAACAAACGATAGGTATTAATATTCAGTTCAACAAACGATGGGTATTAATATTCAGTTCAACAAACGATAGGTATTAATATTAAGTTCAACAAACGATAGGTATTAATATTCAGTTCAACAAACGATAGGTATTAATATTAAGTTCAACAAACGATAGGTATTAATATTCAGTTCAACAAACGATAGGTATTAATATTCAGTTCAACAAACGATAGGTATTAATATTCAGTTCAACAAACGATAGGTATTAATATTCAGTTCAACAAACGATAGGTATTAATATTCAGTTCAACAAACGATGGGTATTAATATTCAGTTCAACAAACGATGGGTATTAATATTCAGTTCAACAAACGATGGGTATTAATATTCAGTTCAACAAACGATGGGTATTAATATTCAGTTCAACAAACGATAGGTATTAATATTCAGTTCAACAAACGATAGGTATTAATATTCAGTTCAACAAACGATGGGTATTAATATTCAGTTCAACAAACGATGGGTATTAATATTCAGTTCAACAAACGATGGGTATTAATATTCAGTTCAACAAACGATAGGTATTAATATTCAGTTCAACAAACGATGGGTATTAATATTAAGTTCAACAAACGATGGGTATTAATATTAAGTTCAACAAACGATGGGTATTAATATTAAGTTCAACAAACGATGGGTATTAATATTAAGTTCAACAAACGATAGGTATTAATATTAAGTTCAACAAACGATGGGTATTAATATTCAGTTCAACAAACGATGGGTATTAATATTCAGTTCAACAAACGATAGGTATTAATATTCAGTTCAACAAACGATAGGTATTAATATTCAGTTCAACAAACGATGGGTATTAATATTCAGTTCAACAAACGATGGGTATTAATATTCAGTTCAACAAACGATGGGTATTAATATTCAGTTCAACAAACGATGGGTATTAATATTCAGTTCAACAAACGATGGGTATTAATATTCAGTTCAACAAACGATGGGTATTAATATTCAGTTCAACAAACGATGGGTATTAATATTCAGTTCAACAAACGATGGGTATTAATATTCAGTTCAACAAACGATGGGTATTAATATTCAGTTCAACAAACGATGGGTATTAATATTCAGTTCAACAAACGATGGGTATTAATATTAAGTTCAACAAACGATAGGTATTAATATTAAGTTCAACAAACGATAGGTATTAATATTAAGTTCAACAAACGATAGGTATTAATATTAAGTTCAACAAACGATGGGTATTAATATTAAGTTCAACAAACGATGGGTATTAATATTAAGTTCAACAAACGATAGGTATTAATATTCAGTTCAACAAACGATGGGTATTAATATTAAGTTCAACAAACGATGGGTATTAATATTAAGTTCAACAAACGATGGGTATTAATATTAAGTTCAACAAACGATGGGTATTAATATTCAGTTCAACAAACGATGGGTATTAATATTCAGTTCAACAAACGATGGGTATTAATATTCAGTTCAACAAACGATGGGTATTAATATTCAGTTCAACAAACGATGGGTATTAATATTCAGTTCAACAAACGATAGGTATTAATATTCAGATCAACAAACGATGGGTATTAATATTCAGTTCAACAAACGATAGGTATTAATATCAAGTTCAACAAACGATGGGTATTAATATTCAGTTCAACAAACGATGGGTATTAATATTCAGTTCAACAAACGATGGGTATTAATATTCAGTTCAACAAACGATGGGTATTAATATTCAGTTCAACAAACGATGGGTATTAATATTCAGTTCAACAAACGATGGGTATTAATATTCAGATCAACAAACGATAGGTATTAATATCAAGTTCAACAAACGATAGGTATTAATATCAAGTTCAACAAACGATAGGTATTAATATTCAGTTCAACAAACGATAGGTATTAATATTCAGTTCAACAAACGATGGGTATTAATATTCAGTTCAACAAACGATGGGTATTAATATTCAGTTCAACAAACGATGGGTATTAATATTCAGTTCAACAAACGATGGGTATTAATATTCAGTTCAACAAACGATAGGGATGGGTATTAATATTCAGTTCAACAAACGATGGGTATTAATATTCAGTTCAACAAACGATGGGTATTGATATTCAGTTCAACAAACGATAGGTATTGATATTCAGTTCAACAAACGATGGGTATTAATATTCAGTTCAACAAACGATGGGTATTAATATTCAGTTCAACAAACGATGGGTATTAATATTCAGTTCAACAAACGATGGGTATTAATATTCAGTTCAACAAACGATAGGTATTAATATTCAGTTCAACAAACGATGGGTATTAATATTAAGTTCAACAAACGATAGGTATTAATATTAAGTTCAACAAACGATGGGTATTAATATTCAGTTCAACAAACGATGGGTATTAATATTCAGTTCAACAAACGATGGGTATTAATATTCAGTTCAACAAACGATAGGTATTAATATTCAGTTCAACAAACGAT